AGTATTAAAGTTGCGCAAGACTCGCCGCATGCATTTGGAGATCTGTCTGTTCGGTTGTCTGTATGCTGTCAAATCTGTTGACGATTGCAGCCTCATCTCCCGTCTAACAGCCATGAGATTAAGTGTGTGATCGGAGAGTTTTTGTGTTATTCTGCGGCGGGACCTGCAGAACTTAGCTCCGATTGCATGGACAGATGGCACGAGCTTGTCATTCATATCGTCCACTGCATTGCAATCTTCTAGGAACTGAAAGCGGTTACGTAGCTCGAGCTGAAATGTTTCGGATTTCTGGATTAGAGCACGAGGGGGACGGAGCGTTGACATTATTAGATAAGACCTCTACAACTTAACGTTTAGGTTCAGTGTGCCTCTAACCATTCGGTGATCGCTGCCAGTTTTCACCCTTGCGATCACTGCGACATAACTGAACAGTTGGCGTCTGGTCGTCATAATGAAGTCAACCTAATTTTTTGCGAACCGTCGGGACTCGACCAAGTCCACTTCCTGTGGAGCCGCTTCTGGAAGAAAGAGTTCACCATAAAGATATCGGTTTTCGAGGAATGCATGGCTCTGGAAATATCCTCATACATTTTCTCCACCTCCTCATCGGGATGTGCCGAGGTTGGTATGTAAACCTGTATGACCTTCAGCGAATACCGTTTGGTGATTCTAAGTATCAGGTACGCGACCCTCGTCGACACACTCCCAATCTTTACAACGTTGTTGACGAGAGACTTGTGGACGATAAATCCGACACCTCCTTGGGACAGGTGGTCGAAATCCCGGTGATAGAACAAGTTACCGGACTCGAGGATTACTGTGTCCTCCTCCTCTCTTCGGACCTCGGATAATCCAATAATCTCTTCTTCCAGCTCCAGTATCTTCTCTTTAGTCCTCAGGGTACGTGCGTTATATGTTGCCAGGTCGAGTTGTCGTAGGTGGCAACCGAACCTCCACCGGAGGTTCTTAGCACCCCGTCCTCGACCTCTAACCTCGAGTATATAACATAAATATTAATTTAAATAGTGACTAAACATAACATTGTTACCGTACGGTGATAGCTTAGGAGAATCCACCACTCTATTTCGACCCTTTTGTGTCGGTAAACGACTAAGGTAAATGCTAGAAAAAACTAATGGGTTTCAAGAGATAGCAGTAAGATAACTCGTTTACGTCGTATAATACCTAGACCGGCGACGAGGTGCTGGTTCAAAGTTCAAAGGTTCTCACGTCTTGTACTACGAACGTCAATCCGATTACAAAGAGTGAAAATTAAGGCTAATTTCCACAACAAAAGAGGCCCACGTGCAGACGTGGGCTTTACGGGCTATTGTACGAAGAACTATCATCTCGTTTCGTAATAGGTGAAACAGAGAAACTGAACACAGATGGCCTCTACCTGATAACAATTCAAATAATTTAAAAAAAAGGTTGCCCTCACGGAACGCTGGCAGATGTGAAACATCATAGTTAATGATATAATATATAATTAAAGAAAACTAATAAAGAATAATGGTTTAAAACAAAAAAAATATTGTCACTAATTCGAAATTTTTAAGCACGTTCACACTTATAGCAATTTCCTTTCAAAAACAATCATTTTAAAAAGAAATACAAAGTGTGTTCTCTAAGTGATAAACTATGACAATACCATCTGTATCAATCTATATTCGCAATAAATGATTTGAATTTGAATTTGAATTTGAATACAAAGTGTGTATACAAACGGTGAGCGCGTCAAGTATACTATAGTCAAATACGTACACGTAGTACACAACTAACATATAGAAGCAATGAAGTACACAACTCATGCATATAAGCAACGCGCACCAAAAGGAGTCGACAGCAGTGGCGTTTTACATCAAAACTGCTAAACCTGCCCGATAAACGTAACAGTTATAGCCATAGAATACTATAATACACAATAGAATGGCGTCGCCGGGAGCACACATATAAGCAATTACGTCTATTATCACTAAACCCGATTTGCTGTGTTGATGTGTTTTGACATTTTAATACATATTTATTTGTAAATAGCGTGCAATTTGACATTTTCTAAATAATTTGCGTGCGAAATTTGGATACGTGTGAATTTATATATTATATTATTTATATATACTCCTAATGATGCAATCTTTGAGGAAGGCCGATAGTAAGTAGTAGACTTTGATAGATTGTAGTGAGTGCCGTCGCGGGCAGAAGCTAGTGTGTCAGAACACTAACGCAACGTCTTCCATAAGTATTAAACTTTTACGAATAGATCGACCGCCGAGACGATTTAGAACCCTTTTGAGAACAAATCGGTTTAGTTGGGGGACTATTACATTTTTATTCTCCTTTATGTTCAACACATAAATCTGTTACGCCCTTATATTTTAAGAGAATTAATGTACATACATCAAACTTTGTCTCTGTGCCAATAAAGTGGAATGGCACTGAAATATCACCAGTTGATTATTATGTTATTGTTATCTTCAAGGCGAGAGTACACCTAGGTATTCCTCACCATTTACCACCAGGTGGGATTGTGGTCACGCAATGACTTATACTAAGTAAGAAAGAGAGAAGCAGAGAAACAAAAAAAAAAGAAGAGAAACACCACCAGGCATAACGAAAATGAAGTGTCTGTTATATTAAAATAACTGCTTTATATTGAGCTACGGGGATTTTTTACACGCCATTAAGATAACAATAAACACTTTAAGGCTTTTGTCTGTTGGTCATTCGGACTGTCCGGGCTAAAATTTCCGAATGGCTAAACCCATAGAATACTACTACTTTATTTAGTACGAGGTTTCACGTCGCCAAATCCGATTCGATGTGTTGACGAGACTGGAGAATAAATTTACACATTTTAGAATTTTGATGTTCAAGATCATTATAAAAAAAAAGATGTTAAATTTTAATATATATTTATTTGTAAATAGGATGCAATTTGGCATTTTTTAAATAATTTGTATGCGAAATTTGGAAACGATTGTAACGTTAACACACACAACATCTCGTGTTGACATTTATACGTGTTAATTGACGTGTTAGTGACATTTTAGTGGCTACGCGGGCTCCGCCCACTCCCCCCTTCTATTATGTATGTATTATATTAGTAGTAGTAATCTATAGCTAAACCAATTGTAATGAACTTCGCCAACAGACAGAGAGACCAATGCCAGGAGTACATATTTTCCTTAAAACTTGAGAATTTTTTTGAAAAACCAAAAATTTAAAATAAATGGCTTTGACTATCTCAAATCTAAATAACACCACATTATTTTTATAGAATAAGAGTATTAGATGGAATATGCCTTACGAGGCATACCATTTGTTACTCTTATTCTATAAATACAGCTGCATTTTGCAGCGGTTCGAAGGAAAGGGGAAACAGTTCAGTGGCACTCGCGATTCCCATCCACTTCCGGATGTTACATAACAATGAGTCTGTCACCGACGCGTCTTCTCTCAACAACTTTTCGCATCATAATGATTTTTGGAGTTCATACCTCTCCTGCATCAGCACGTGCCCCAAATATGCTACTTTTCTCATTTTGATGTTCTGTATAAGTTAGCGCTTTTGGTCGACTCGTCTCAGAACATTAACACTATTAACGACAATGACGGACGAATTCATTTTATAAAGTTTGCTGAAGTATGCGTTAGAAAGGCGGTTAAGGAGAATTGATCAAAAATTAATTAAGGTATTTATAGAAAGCAGAATATTTAGTCACATTAACTCTTGCTTAATAAGTATAGCCTATATTAAGTAGTATCGATTATAGTAAGTAGAATTGCTGATAAAAATTATCATATCAAAAGCTTAAATAAGGAAAAAAATGTTTTAAGGATTATACTCAAAGGATTCAAGGATTATAAAAGTAAAGTAAAGCATTATATTTTGTGACATAATCCAATTTTTAAAAGTATTGCTTATATAGTTTATAGTAAGTAGTAAAGCTTATAGCAGATAGCATAGCAAAAGCCTCATTTATACTATAGGTAGGAAATAAATCATGTATAAACTATATTATAAATAGAAAATGAAACGTATAGACTAAAAGAGGCATCAAGGTACGGCCTTAGCCCAAATATAAACATTACAGTAGTCTAAATTATCAAATATCAAGTAAGGCAGAAAACAAAATGTAAGTATAGATAAGTAATAGTAAGATGTAAGGCAAATACTAAAAAAAAAAAAACAAAAAAAAACAAAGGAGAAGTTTTAAAAGACTGTACACTAAAAAAGAATAAAGGGTGCTGTAAAATAAATAACAACATGTGAAATGAGACAATTAACAAAAAAAAACTTACACCTCGTCTTACATGCCTGGCGTAAATGTGATGATTTTACGAGAACATTGTAGATATTAATTTTTATTTATGAATAAGTCTGTACACTTTTTGTTTGTGCTTAAGAATAATATTAATATAGATACAGGAACGTAACGTAGAGTTGGTAAGCTATATATATATATATATATATATATATATATATATATATATATATATATATATATATATATATATATATATAACATTCCGCCCGCAGGTGATCGCGCAACAACACGTACCTGTTTGGTCTCCGTAGTTAATATTCGCTATTGAGTATAAAGTTAATCTTTAGATTTAAAAAAAAAAGTTGTGTTATGTAGTAAAGTGCATGGACTACATAGTTTAAAAACCCAACTGCAAAATTAGTTAAGAAATCAAGTGTTAATCTATAAGGATAAATAAAATATTGAATAAACTGTGAGTGTGAGTCATAGTGTCAACGAACTAACAGGGCCGTGTGAATGACCGGCCTTGCCACTACATACATAATATTCAACTTCGAGCGGCGACCGTTTTACCAATCCACCGTCATTTCGGCAACTTCCAAAAACCGTCGTATCAGCGATTGCCTTGTGAGTAAATTAAATATTATTCTAAAAATTTTGTTAGTTAAAATAAACAAACATTTATAAGTACCTAATAAAATAAAATAAAACAAAAAAAGCTTAAACTAAACCATGATACGACGCTCGCCTCCTAATGCTCCGGCATCACCCCACTACACATCGGAACCGAATTTAACATCGTGCCCCAATAATGAAAACTTAAACATAACGCAAAGGAAAAGAAAACGTGAGTCGGATGAATTAGGACGAATGGAAAAAATGATGATGGATATGAAAACCATGTTTGAGGAGTTCGTATCGAACCAAACTCAACAAAACAATAAAATAGATACCCTGCAAATGGCAATCGAAGAAATTCGAACTCAAAACGCAAAAATCGCTATTCAAAACTCAGAAATCCGTACTCAAAACGAAGAAATCCAAAAAACCATGTCATTTTTGTCTGACAAATATGATGAGGCGGTGCTTGAGATTAATAATTTAAAAGCAGAGTGTAACAAAAATCAGCAGATTATAAAAACATTAGAAAATAAGGTAGACTTTTTGGAAAAAAATTTGAGAGCAGCATCACTTGAAATAAAAAATGTACCATTACAGTGTCCTGAAACCCGTGAAACCCTAATAAGCACAATCCAAAAACTTGGCAATATTATTAATCATCCCGTACTAGAACAGGATATTGCAAATATTTTTCGTTTGAAGAGTAAGAAGGAATCAGTGGGTACAGTTATTGTGGAATTCTCGTCAGCGGCAGCAAAGCAACTATTTTTGAAGTCAACTAAAATCTATAATAAACAGAACAAGGAAAACCGTCTTAACACAACCCACTTACAAGAAAAAGGACCTAAGCACTTCTTATACGTCTCTGAAGTGCTCACCGCCATGACAAAGCGACTCTACTACCTTGCAAGAGAGTTTATTAAGAGTAGTGAATACGAGCAATGTTGGACAGCCAACGGTAAGGTGTACATACGCAAAAAGGAAGGGATGCCCAGCCGACTTATCAAGACAGAAGATGATCTAGCACAACTACGAAGACAAAAGTGACTAGACTGCGTTATTTTATCTTTAGCAATATTCTTCAAATATATTATAATACTATTCTTGTTACAAGTTTATAAAATTAAATTTAAAAACTATATTAATCACCAACATCATTTCATATACATACAACATTCTACAGAACACACAAATACTACACTAACAAATACATACATACACTACATACAACTAATGTTATTAACTAAGAACACATGTGCTGTGTGCAACACGAGAATATATAAATGCTATAAGCTCTCTTTTTGTACTACTTCTGGCGACCAATTAATTGTCATTATCAATTTAGCTCTATTAAATGTCACATATAAAAATGTAACTAGGAAAAATAAACACCACAATAGTAGATAATATACTAAATAACACATACAACATAGATTCTGTCTCAGTGTCGAATTCATCTACCTGTGACATAGACAATTGCATCCCACTAAACTTCAACCCTAAGCAATCACTCAAAATACTTAATCAAAATATTAGAAGTATCTCAAAAAATATGATTGGTTTTTATACCACACTCGCTAGGACTAAGGTTGATTGGGACATAATCACCTTAACTGAATGTTGGCTTCCCAATACACATAATATCCCTGACCTAACAGGTTATAAATACTTTAATACTGCTAACAATCTAACACAAAACGAGGGTGTTGTTGTATACGTACATGAAAACCTACAGGTTTCTGTAGAAGAACCCCCATTTATAGATGCAAATTGTCTACAAATAAAAATAAACCAAAATACCATTTTATTAGCAATATATCGACCACCAAGCCATAGAGATGTCACTAACTTCCTGCATTCGCTTAACATAACCTTGACTAATATCACACATTACAAAAAATATAATAATAACTGGGGACATAAATATTAACATCCATGACGAATGCCAAGACATAAGCAAGCTTAATTACCTAAACTTATTAGCGTCACATGGCCTACTGCCTGCACATTCTTTGCCCACTAGACAAAATGCATGTCTTGATCATTTTGTCCTCAAAACTCTATTACCTGCTTACACATTAGTCGCCCATTCAGCACTAACTGATCATGATACCGTGTTATTATTTCTCGCAAGCAAAATGCCCAAAATAGCGGTGAAAAAAACAACGACGCGCATTAACTATGATCAATTGACTGACGACATGAAAATAATCGACTTTGGTGAAGTATATAATACCCAAGATCCTCATGTAGCAGCAGAATTAATGATAAGTCTTATCAAACAGGCGGTCGAAAAAAAACACTAAAGTCGTGAAAGTAGCAAACCGTAAAAAAATCGTTAAGCCATGGATAACTCCTGGCCTTTTACGCTGTATTCGACACAGAGATAACTTACACAAAAAATCGAAGAAGTCGCCAGATAACGAAGTCTTAAAAATATCTTTTACTAGGTACAGAAACTATTGTAATAAGTTGTTAAAAAAAATTAAACTGGAATATGAAAAAAATGAATTAAAAAAAGCTAATAATAATCCTAAGCAACTCTGGGGAGCAATAAACAACATAACAAACAGAGCGAAAAAAGAAAGAGAATTCATCCCATCACTTATTAACTCTATCATCTTCTCCGGAGCTATCTGTTAATTTAGTTAATGATTTTTTTCGCTAACATAGGTAAAAATCTTGCGGAAAAGATATTGGGTGGACTGACAGAGACAACAAAAAAAAGCTTTTAACAACAACTCACAGTCCATGGTATTGTTACCAACGGATGAGGACGAGGTTGCAAGGTTAATAATATCTCTCCGTAACGACTGTGCTGTGGGTTGGGATGGAATATCCTCTCATCTCCTTAAAATGCATATTAATGTAGTTGTCCCACCCCTGAAATATATCTGCAATCTTGCTCTCATAACCGGAAAATTCCCCAAAGCTTTTAAAAAGTCGATTATACACCCGATTTATAAGGGTGGGGACAGAGATCGTGCCGATAACTATAGACCTATAGCCGTGCTCTCTGCCTTGTCCAAAATACTTGAACGCATAATGAACAACAGGCTCGTAAACTATTTGGAAAAATATAACTTACTATCGCCCTCACAATATGGTTTTAGGTCAGGCAAATCTACGTCCGATGCGATTCATGACCTCACAAATTATATTGTTACAAACTTGGACAATGGGCAGAAAGTTCTCGGCATTTTTCTAGATCTTTCCAAAGCTTTCGACACGGTTTCTGTACCCATACTTTTACGTAGGATGGAGAGTATGGGAATTAGAGGTACTCAACTGCGACTTTTTAAAGACTACTTGAGTGGACGTACTCAGCGCGTTCAGGTGGATAAGTTCGTCAGTGCCGAATGCACAACTACCTATGGAACGCCCCAGGGCAGCGTACTTTCTCCAACCTTATTTCTAATATATATTAACGAACTGGGTATGCTCACACTTCCTAAAGGGCGAATCATAAGTTTTGCAGATGATACTGTCCTCCTTTTTAGTGCAAGTACATGGCAAGAAGTCTATGCGTACGCCCAGTTGGGCTACAACACTGTCTCAAATTGGCTTCGAAATAACGTTCTGACACTGAACATAGATAAAACATGTTATGTCCCGTTCAGATTAAAAAACAAAACATTAACCACATCATCTCTATCACATACCATCGTAAGTCACTCGTGTTGCAATTCACTCAATAATGCAGACACCTGCACACAACTACGTCAAGCTGACAGAGTAAAATATCTAGGAGTTATTATCGATAGCACTCTACGTTTTCATGAACACATTAATACACTTAATAGCAGGTTGCGTAAATTAATATATGTATTTAAAACTCTGAGAGACGCGGCAGATGATAAACTAAAGAAATCCGTATATTTTGCCTTGGCCCAATCTCTATTAACATATGGTATTACGTCCTGGGGCGGTGCTCCAAAATCAATAATGCTCCAATTGGAGAGAACGCAGAGAGCCATCTTAAAAGTCTCGTTTTCGCTGCCGTATCACTATCCTACAGAGCTCCTATATAAAGAGTTGAAAATATTAACTGTACGGCAACTTTTTATACAACGAACCTTACTGAAACAACATGCTCTATTAAAATACAATCCCTCACTCTCCCGAGGGAAAAGGTGTTTTAACCCCGTGGACCGCACTCATATAACTCTATCCACCAAACTATCTAAACGTTTCTTTTGTCACCTCGGAGGTTTTCTATACAATAAAATCAATAAAATTATCTCTATATTTAACGTCAATAAGACTACATGCAAAAGTAAAATAACTATCTGGCTACAAGAATTAAATTATGATAACACTGAAAAGCTACTCACTAATCCTAACTAATTACTATCCGTACTAAAGTTAAATACTAACCCAATCCTAAATTTAATTTCTATCCCAGTTACTACTACACTACTAACAAACAAAAGCACGCACACACACACACGCGCACGCACTCACACACACACACACACACACACACACACACACACACACACACACACACACACACACACACACACACACAGACTAATACTAGCACCAGATTAAAATATATAATAAATACTAGTTAAGTAAAAGAAGGTACATTATGTAAATTACAAATATGGTACATGTACATGGTAAAAGTATTGTAATTACAACCATAGGGCGGAGACCTGGTGGCCTGAAATACAGGCGTAAAGCCTAGCTTAGGCACCAGTCTCCCACAGTATAACATTAAGGTGTAATATTCTAATATTATGTACAATAATCCTGTAATATTGTGGTGAGAAAATAAATCATTTATTATTATATATATATATATATATATAATTATAATTATTAGATTGCCTCACATCATCTATTTAGGTTAGAAAAAGGTACTTCGATTACGGAAATATATTAAACATCAATAAATATATAAAAAGACAAGTCCCAATTCACTCACTCATTAAATGTAATAACTTACTCACTCATTAGTACCAGCCTAAAGCTTTAGACCTAGGTCTGAGGAAAAAGCTGAAAATTTGCACACACAGAGTCCAAACACATAACAAAACACTCACGCCGTCACCCAGAGGGGTAGGCAGAGACTACAGACTTCCATTTGGCACGATCCTGACACACCTCTCTCGCCTCCTTCACATCCATACACCTCCGCATACATGCTCGTCGGTTAAGGGTACTCCTAATTTGGCTCCTTTTCAATAAATCGCCAATTTGGTCGATAAATTTTCGCCTAGGACGTCCCTTTCCGACTCTGCCATTCACTTCTGCAACATAAATTTTCTTTGTCACTCTTTCCTCATTCATTCTTTCCACATGACCAAACCACCGAAGCATTCCTTTCTTAATCCTGGTCACAACATCATCTTGCAAACCACACTCTTCTCTTATTACACAATTTCTTACCCTGTCATTAAGATTCAGCCCTAACATACTCCTTAACGACCGCATTTCTACTGCGTTCATTCTACTCTCGTGCTTCTTCTGCCACACCCAACTTTCACTACCATATGTTAAAGTAGGGACCAACACAGCATTGTGAATTGCCATACGTGCCTTTTTCGACACATTTTGACTCTTCACAATAGAGTGCAGGGCCCCATTTACTCTATTTCCCGCATTCACTCGTCGTTCTATATCCTTATCATATCTCCCATCCCTGCTAAATACGCAGCCCAAATATACAAACTCATCTACTTGCTCGATCAACTCCCCTTCTATTCTTATTTCACAAATCGTTTTACTTTCTTCTCTTTCAAAAACCATAACCTTCGTCTTACTTGCGTTCACTTTCATACCCCTTTCTTTTAATGATCTGTTCATTAATGTAACCATCATTTGCAACTCGGCCGCCGACGACGCAAGTATAACTTGATCATCGGCGTACAAAAGGCATTTGACGGTTAACTCACCCATTCTTAATCCGCATTCTTCAACTTTCAAATTTTGCAAACAACTGTCCATAAATAGGTTGAACAGCCACGGGGAAGCTACACAGCCCTGTCTGACACCTTTATGGATGTCAAACCAGTCCGAGTAGACCCCGTTGATCCTAA